TCAACTCCCAGAATTCCCCAGCCAGCATGCTGGCTGGGGAATTCTGGGAGTTGATGTCCACCCTTCTTAAAACAGCCAAGGTTGAGAAACACTGATCTATGCAATAAGCTCAAATTGTCAGCCCCACTAGGTAGACCAGATCAGGAAATGAACTCCACCAAAAGGCTAAAACTGCTTTTATTGGCTATAATATCAGAATCTTGCAAGTCGAATTCTGCTGGACTTCCTCTTCCTTCTTATATTTCAGTCAATTAGGGAGGTGTCTTCCTGATTCACTTCTGAATGTTATCTCATAATTCTAGTCTTAAAAAATGCTTCAGCCCCTTTTGCCTAAATATCTATTCTTGTATATTTCCATCAAGGTCATCTTCCTCACTCACTACCCAAACGCAGAATGGGGGAAAATCCACCAAGAATGGCCTCTGCAAAGTTGATATGTGAAATATGGGGTTATCTTGCCTACAAATAAATATCCTGCCTACCTGGCACAAGGGATAGACTCAGTTTTAAACAGACTGAAGACAGTAGGGCCATTTACTCAAGAGAACCAAGATCCTTTTAACCATTTGTCTCATTCCTTGGTACCAGGAGAAATCTGGATACGTTCTGTGTTTCCTTTTTCCTCGGGGACTTTAGATTTCCAAACTAGTCTTGACAGTGGGGGACTCCTAACAGCAAGAGGGTGCCAGGCATATAAGCAGCTACTAATTGTTCCTCTAGATCCATGTTTGCTGTGTAACGCTAATATCAGAGCAAAGGACCATCTTTCAAAACAGATTAGGGGCGGTCAGTTCCCCTGCACAGCCCCTCAACCCCACTCACCTTTTCTTTCACCAGCTCTGCTCTAAGACCCAAAATATGGAGATGGGAGGAAAAAATAACAAGGGGAATGCTTTGATAGGAGTTAAGACACATCTTGCCCCCGCAACCCCTACCCGCGCTCTTCAAATTACTTGGCAAATGTGGTTGTCGTGAAGTTGTCATATTGTTCATAAAGTGGGTGCATGAATCAGTTTCCAGAGAGAAATGCAGTTTATGCCTCCCCCCCCCCCCCCCCCCCCCCTT